TCTATTCTCGGCGATTTTTCCAACGACTTTCGGCTGTTTGGTGCAGTTTTTAATTTAATTTGGAAATGCTTAAAACGCGCTATTCTTTCTGTCTCTTGGCCTGCCTTTGTATGCGAATGCCATCGCATTGTGGCAGGCCATGTGAGCAGGGATACATCCTGAATCGGTGGTGAGGGATAGGGATATATCTGCCCGGCTTTCACTCGAGAACTGAACAAACTGAGCAGGCGAGTGAAAAGGCAGTCGAAAGTCGCGCTTCTGCTGCATTTGTTGCAAGCAGACTTGGCAACGTTTGTGCATAAATGATAGGTCTCTCCCTCCGGCGGGTCTTTCCATTTTATTTACCACACGTTGCACATACGCGGCGTTGGCTCCTCACAAAAACCACAGAGTAACGAAAGAAAATCAACGCACTCACACAGTAAACACTCGCAATTATGTGTCACAACTGTGTGTGTCCGTGTGTGTGCGTCTGTGTTTGCAAACGTTTGCCGGCCGGCTTGCCAGGGTTGCCAACCATTTGTGATGTTTTGGCTGGCACGCTATCAGAGCGCACACAAGTCCAATGTCAAATATGCGACTCCCGACGTTGGCAAACAAGACAATGAAAATACTTCCCCATCTGTCTCCTGGCTCCTGCTCGCTCTCCCCCACTCTCCTCACTGGATCCAGTCCTGTTTGCCCCGTCTGTTGGCGGCAGCGGCGGCCCTTGATGTTGGCTTTAAAAAACAAAACAAATACGCTCGGCCGGCTCAGAGATGGGTCCGTGATGCAGCAGCTGCACAGAAAGTGTCTCCCTGAATGTGAGCTACCAAATAAGATCTTTTTTAATAAACGTGTCTATGTTATGTTATATGAATGTTTGATGGTTCTTCTGACAACACGCTTTCATTAATAACAGATTGTAAGAGAGTAGAAACTGATCGCTATTTCTGTTACGTGCTAATATAATACTAACCTAATTGGAAAAGAAACTCATTTATAACTAAGCTCAGAATTATATCCAAATTCTTCTTGGTAAAATGTCACCTGATAATAATTACTTTAAAAACTGTGGTACCTGACTTAGTAAAAAGACCTAGTATGCACCACTTAGAGAATTCAGTTAACTGGGACTAAAAATAGTGTAATAGTATTGGCCAAGCTAACTCGCTTGTAGTCACGAGGCCAGCTCTGGCACATATTCCCGCCGCTAGTTGAGTCCCGGCTACATTCCTCCTGGCCACATGATTTTGTCATTCTGTGAATGCGAGCAAAGTTTGCCGAGGGTCGGGAGTCGAGGGAGGAGTGGAGGGGTCAGAAGTACAATTGCTTTTATGAAATTAAATTACGGTACACATATTTAAGCACTCCGGGAGTTGCTGAACGGCGGAGAAAGCGTGTTTTTAAAGGAAACTGGTAACATTCGTGGTTTCAGTGCATCACGTCAACCGCTGGGCTGAGGACTGGATGAAAGGAAGCTGTCCCTAAATGGCCAAAAGTAATCAATTAACGTCCATCGCAATCGATAATCAATTTTAATTTGAATTACTAAAGTAATTGGATGAGGATTTAATATAAAATTATCGTCAAGTGTCTGCCAAAGATGGCCGGACAAAGAGTCTTCTTTGTAATGCAATCAACACAAACAGAAATGCCAGCGTTCTTTGAGATGTGCTTGGTTTTTTCCCTCGGAACCGAATCCGAGTCCGACTCCGAGATGAAGAATGAAGGCTGACCGCAAAACTCAATAGACACATGCCGGAGTTAAAGCTGCAAATGTAATTAAATAATTGCAATTAAACATGGGAATCGAGAGCGCAGGAGAAACTCGCAAATTACATAAATACCTCAAATAATCAACACATTATCAACTTTTACGTAATTACACATGCAGCATGCCGGGAAGTTGCAGATCCAAAGATACAAAGGCAGATGTGGCCGCAGATGCAGATAAAGTTAGATCTGGCCACATGCGGAGGCAGCTCACGTGCAGCTCAACAATGGGAATCGGCAAACAGCACTGACTGACTGACTGACTGAATGACTGACTGACTGACTGACTGAGGGACTGACAAACAGACAGACAGTCCGGACAACAATTGCGGCGTAATTTTGTAAATGGAAATGGATACATTTAATAACTAAACTAAATAGAAAGCCATTCCTGCTGCCTCGGTCTGTGTCTCTAATGGATATTTGTTTATTTGCATGGAAATTCGAAATTAAACTATTGAATCATTGCAAGCCCTTTGACTCGGTCTGCCCGTGGAACGCGTCCAGCTCCGGTTACTCCGGTTCCCTCCACCTGCACGTGCATCTGTCCTAGCTGGGCAAACAAATCGAACTGTGATAATAGGATTTAAAAATTCTAAATTGCCAAACAAGACTTAAGCTCCTTCTTCCTTATCGAAGGTATATGTGTGTGGCCAGATCTGCCACGCCCTCTCCGACTGGAGCGCCCAGTGTGTAACCACAAGCTGCTGTGGCTGCGTGCCTAAAGTGGAATTGTTTGTAATGCGTTGATGAGAACGACAACAGCCCGACTTCCCAGTGGCAGAGGAAGTGGATGGGGACGATGGGGGCAGGAACTGGTCCTCGATGAGGATTAATTTAAATGAGATTTTTAATTTACTTTAGTCTATCGAGGCAGCAGCAAGCGGGCTTTTGTTCTTGCGCTGATTGCACTATTTCGCAAGCAATTTGTGCGGACTTGTGTGATCGAGGTGTGGCCCGGGGCACGGAAGTGTGCTCCCCCACATAATGCCGCCTTGCGCGGCGCCTCCGATTAACTTACCAGCGTCTCAACAGCAATGCCAAAACAATTCCTCTGCCGTTTCGCACTCGAGAGCACTCAATCAGCAGTGGAAAGGAGCAATGCTCCGACCACTTGGACACGCAATCAGAGCAAACTTTTCCGCACTTTCCCTGTATTGTAATTCAAGACTTTCTCCACCCCTCCCCGAGCAGGTCAAGCTGCCAACGACCGAAAAACCGGAGAACAATAATAAGAGCAACAATGCAATTGCCAAATGCCAACTCCATGCTTCGAGTCTGGGGTGCAGAATGCGGGTGGGGCAGTGCAGCTGAAGATGAAAATAGTTTAAGTGCAAAATTTTACGCTTTATCGAATTACCCGCGGGTGCTTTAACTTACAGCCAAACTTCGGGATGAGCAAAACTTTTCCCGCCCGGTGCAGTTGCAACTGGGCGGTCAGGTCACAATTTATGATTCTAAGGTGTTGCAATGAAAACTACTAGCTCCTTGCGATTGCCTGGGTAAATTTGTTATATTTCTTACTGTCAGCCAGACCATTTGTTAAATGAGTTGGCAAAGCTAATCGAAAAGTTACGGCGAAGACTGTGGGAGCTGGTCGCTCACTGGCAGATGCATCTCCCTGACCTAGATCCCACCTGGTCCAACTATCCTGGCCCAACTGGCCCACCTGGACACGGCCCTTCTGATGACCGGCACAAACAAACGAATAAATAACGCCGAGGCAAACAATTTAGCCGGGGAGCATACGGTACCCAAGCGGGACCTAAATTCGGCCACGCTGCAATAAAAGAATAATTTATAACAAAGGCGCCCGAGAGAAGGGGATGGAGGCTGTAAGAACGGAAACGAGAGTGAGAGTGAGAGGGGCCCAAAATGCTAAAGTAAGATTTATGCAAATCGGAAGTAAACATTAATCAAAATTTTTTATCCCCTCTTGTTTGTTGCTGGCCGTGCCACGAGCAGCCTTTGTGCGGCGTTTGTGGGTGTGGCCCTGTTCCCGGCGCCAGTCGCAAGATTCTGGGTCACCGATACGGCACCGGACCCGGAAACGGATACGCAGGTCACCTCCAGGCGAACAAAGTGTTTTTCACCATGAACTTCATAAATTAAAACTTCATATGTCAGAAATGGCAATCGCTCGGAGGGTCCCTGCAACTCCTAAAGCTAAACCGAGCTGTTGTGTCATTTATACTGAAGTGTCAAATCGGAGGGACGTGTGCCACACATCTTAACGAGCAGTCCCTCAGAGAGATGCAATCCAGAACCCAGTTAGGTCATGTGGGGATGCCCCTCAGGTACTGCCTGAAGTGTTCTAGTGAGTGTTAGGGCAGATTGTTCGATTTAGTTAACTTAACTTGAAGCAAAGGCAAAACATTATATTGTATACTAGCGCGTCCGCTTCGCTTCGATCGGCACGCTTTTCTTTCGATGAGAAGGACGGCCGTATATTCCTGATCAGTATCAATAGCGAAGTCGACAACTTTATTTCAGCATCCTGTCACGCCAACAAATCACGAAAAACTAAAATCGCTGAAATCTCAACAACTATTAAAGCTAGAGAGCTGAAATTAAGTATGAGATGCCAGCGCATCTTATGGTGGTACCATTATCTGGCCACACCCACTGTTAAGTCTACTAAGCTCGGAAGACGCATTTTTCGCATTTTGTTGAAAAGCGGATATCTCTGTAACCATAAGTGATAGAAAGTATGGATGAAGCATGTAGATTTTTAAGATGCCCCAAAAGCGAATTCCGAAAAACCCAAAATGCAAAAATCTCGGGTTCTAGAAATTTGGGCATAGGAATACGTATTTTAGCCACTGCAACTTGGCAGTATTTTTCATCTGGCCACGCCCATTTTAACTCCCGCAAACCGCGGAAGACTGTGGCGTCCATAATATTACAATGGATGTCTTCGTTTGACCTTGCCTAACATATTTTTGTTTACCAGTTTACCAAAGATTTTTCAAATCGGAACATTATATCGCTATTTATGAAGAAATGTAGTTTGTATGGCCTCGCAGGGAAAGTGACGTCACCACCAGTTTAACAACGTGCTTTCTTTGACAATAGGTGGCGCTTTGTGAATTTCCACTAGCAAAATGAATATTTTAAAATTGTGTAAAACAGTAACGGATATCTTATAGTTGCGGCACTCGACTATAGCGTTTCTTCTTCTTTTACATTGTAACTTTCCATAAAATTGTAACTTTTACTTTATGCTCAACCAATCGATCGATTGAAGTATCATCATTAGTTTAATATGAACAAATTTGTGCCACAAAAGGGACAAATTGACGGGTGACATATGCACTTGAACTTAAAACTGAAATGGGGTTTCTTAACTACCTTTGCATATCAAAACATACAACTAACTGCAGCAGGAGGCTGGGGTGGGGTCTCGACCAGATCGCTTGGTGATTGAAAGCCGCGTGAACTCTTCGGCGGTTGTGGGGTGGATTCCCACAGTGTTCAGCAAAGTCTTCACAGTTAAGCCTGACTTGAGGGCGGCGGCAAAGCCCTGAATGACTTCGCCGGCCACTGGACCAATGTAGTGCAGGCCGAGGATCTTCTGGTCTCCGGATATCTCAGCCACGGCTTTTAGGTAGCAGTGTCGCACGCTCTTCTGCGGGATGAAGAACTCAGTTGGCTTGTAATATCCGTGAAAGACCTCAATATTATCGGCTCCACGAAGTTCAATGGCCGTTTCCTCAGACATCCCCACACAGCTGTACTCGAGCGGAGTGAAAACTGTAGTGGCCACGTCGGCATAGTCCATTAGCTGTGTGGATCCGCCGAAAAGGCGTCTGGCCAATAGACGGCCGGAGAGGATGGCCACCGGTGTGAGTTCTGGCCGACCGTATATGATATCCCCCACGGCAAAGATATGGGGTGCACTGGTGGCCTCTGAGGCATCCACTACGATCTTGTCATTATGAGTCTTTACTCCGGCAGCCTCAAGGTTTAGGTCCTCGATAAGACCCCTGCGTCCGATAGCCCACAGAACGGTATCGAAGACGTCGCTGCCGTCTGTTTGAGTGGTGGTGTTGTGGTACCGGACCAACAGCCGTCCGTCGGCCTGCTTTTCTACGGTCTTGGGAATAGTGGTGTCAAGGAACGGGATCCCCCTCTCGGTCATCATGGCAGCTAACAACTCAGACATCTGGCGGTCGAAACCACGCAGAACTATAGAGCGAACCATCACAGTGGGCTCATAGCCGAGGCCCTTGAGGAAACAGGCGCACTCCAAACCCACGTATCCGGCACCAACCACCAGGGTGCGACCCGGCTCTCGATCGTAGCTGAATATGTCGTCGCTGGTGATTCCCAACTCAATGGCACCGGGAATCTCCGGGTAGCGAGGACGTCCGCCCACAGCCACTACTACGTATTCGGATGTTACCCTCCGGCGCTCGTCGCCTGGCCTTGCCAAATACTCAATAGTGTGACTGTCAACGAAGGAGCCCATCGAGTTGACGTACTCCACCTTCTTGTCGCGGAGATCTACGCGAGTAACCCAGTTGACGGACTTGATGTGGTTCTGCACGGAGCGCACCAGCTTGCGCCAGTCGGGGCGGAGGTTCTGGTCGTCCACGTTCCAGCCGTAGGCCTTCGCCTCATGGACCGCCTCGCCCAGTAGGGAAGCCTGGTGCATCAGCTTCTTGGGTATGCAGCCCACGTTCACGCAGGTGCCGCCGATGCCCCACTTGGTGCCCGCGGGAGTGGGTTTCACGTAGTCGAAGCACAAGACGCGAGCTCCGCAGTCGGCTGCCTCTTTGGCGCAGGCCAATCCCGCTGAGCCACCGCCAAGCACGACCAGGTTGTAGTCATAAGGAGGGTTGGTAACTAGATGGCGGCACCACCCGAGCCCAGTCCGAAATGTGGTGCGTGTGGAGAGACGTAGGAACTTCATCGTGGACATTATGACCGATGGATTAAGTAAGGATGGGGACTACAATTCTATAAGAATTCTAATTGAACAGAAACTTGAAATTTACGGACTGCCAACTTATGAAAATATTGCCTGTCGTAAACTTGATGTACGCAACCAGGTCACATTTTAATTTCAGACGACTGAATGGAGTTCAAGATATCCCTTATTCTGTTCATAAATTATTGTATGAATATGCCATCAGAATATATTAACAGACATGCTCCATATAATGGTAGAACCACACACTTCGCAAATAGAATCAAATTAAACGCCGCTGTTTTATACATAAACGGCATTTAGCTGTTTGTGCCACTATAAATACTTTATTTATTTCTCAGAGAACTCTTCATATAAAAAGTAATAAAACGATTGGGAACATATTTCGTTTAAGCAATACAAGTTCTTTAGAAGTTCTTGCGTTGACAAATTTTCTTGATAATAGGCTTGCATTTTACTATACCAAAGCTTCCCTTAAGCGGTGGACTGGATAAAAATCTCCTTGAATTCAAAGCGACATTAGTTAGCTCGATTTCGGATTTCAGAGCGACGTGGTATGGAATCTTAAAAGTCATCCTGACGATGTCCCTCAGCGCAGCTCGCGTTCAATAGCGAAATGATTTATGTGAGTTAGTTTTTAAGGATTGGGGATGCTTGATTCTTTGGGGAACTAGTTCAGGGGAACTAATAGAGCGCACCCTGGGACCCAGTTCTTAGACCGCAGGACGCGTGTCTCCGTAGTTCCTTGTTGAAATCGACGGATATCTTAGGCAAATTCCCCCGCCCACCAGAACACTTCCCCCCTTGGAAGTGACCGAATCTTTAGCATATATACAAATCTAGTGAAATGGTGAAATGTCAGTTTCAATGATTTATGCTCCTCGGCCATGGACCATTTGGAATTTTTGGCAGGCCGTTGGTAACTAGTTTCCTGCTCCCGCATCCCATTCCCGTCCCACAAATGGCGTTCTGGTCTACTGCCTGCCCAATCCCACAACCAATCCAAGTCCATGTCCATGGCTTTCCTAATTTCTAATCTAATATTTTTGCGTACGAGTGCAGGACGACGGACGGAGGAAGAAAGACGGGGGAAGGGCGAGGCAAGAGAAATTCCTTGCCTTGGATGCTTGGCCATGTCCAATGTCTGCTCTGGATATGATTTACTTTTGCGGTTTGTTTTTGGTGCGTTTAACCGCAAATATTTAATGGTTTTATTTCCCGATGCTCGGCCAGCCCTCAGCTGCGATTCATTTGTACATGTCCTGGTGTGCGGGTGTGCTTGGGGTGCTTGGGTGTGTGCGTGCCGTGCCGGGTATCTGTATCTGTGTGTCTGGTGTTTTCTGGCATATTTATTAGTTGAACCAACGACCCAGTATTTGTAGATGCGGCAAGGTTAAGCCCCTGACTGATGGCGGCCCAGTTAAAGGCGCCTGAACCTGTGCTCAGAACTCAATGTTTTGGGCCATCGCCAATCGACTCGACGGACTCCGCTCTGTGTAGCGGCAGCTCTGGGGAAGGATACTCCGACAGTGGTAAAGACTGGCGCAAGGAGACTTCGGGACGCTTCGTCTGCAGATTCATTGTTCCGACGATCAGACCCAAGTGCATTGAGCTCATAAGGAATCCAAGGATAGCCAGAGGAGCGTAATAGGCCCAGCAAAGATCACTCCACCACAAGTGCCACACCAGCCTCAGGTAAAAAGCGAACAGACGCTGGTACACGTAGAAGTTCCACATGAGAACCATGGCCACCAGCAGGCTGAAGTTATGAACCTGATGCAGGAAATAGATAAATAAGGACACTGTGCAGGACTTTGCCTTACCTTTAAGAATACTGGCAGAAGGAGCAGGAAGTTCACATATAGGTTGACGCACCACAGAAAGTCGCTAAACTCAGGGGAATCCGTCACATCTTCTGCAGGGTTCGCCTGCTGAGGAGCAAAGACTCTCCCGATAATGGGGATTCGACGCCAACCACTGATATTGGACGATGGAGCTAGGAGAAAAGTTTGTAGTCAAGAAGTAGATGATCCTGACACAAACCTTACCGCTGACCACGCGCTTCACCTCTCTGGCTATGTAGACCAACAGGCCATTGTACAAAAACAAGTTTAGAGCTGGCATACAGATCATGATGCGACTTTGAAAAATATACATTAGCTTTAATAGCTTTGACGTTAGCAAAAAGGTTACTAGGGATATGAGTTATATGGGATTGGTTGCTTTAGAATCCTCCCTTCTAAAGTAACCAATATGCTAACACGGGACTAGCCGTAGAAAAAGCTATAGTACTTCTGAATCTTCGTAGCTCCTTTGCAGTGAATATCGTTTCCATGGTTATGAATTTGTAAGTAATTTGCATTTTTATTCTCTCTCTTACAGGTAAGTGGCTCCTATCTCCACTCGGGTGAGTACAATCGCGTTTATTTGCATTATCTCGGGGACTAGGGCGAATTTAAATGAAGGAATTAATATCTGAAAATTCTCCAACAATGAAACTTTACCAGGGAAACGCGGGAAAAACTCTCGGAATTGATGCGATAAAAGTTTAATTCAAAGTAAGGTTTCTTCTGTTACTGCCCCGCCGCTCAGTCGACAACTTGGTAGGCCTAATGTGCTGACAATCGTTGGATTCCAGACCACTCAGACCTGGGCTCCCTGCCCCCTGGTATAATTTAAACTTTAAAATGACCAGAGACGGGCCTAGGCAACGACAGAGAAGGCAAAATGCAACCGCTGGAGGCGGGGGAGTACGGCGTAAACTTTTGTAAAAGTTGTAAAAAATGAAAAAGTTTCGCCAATAAACATTAGAAAAACTTTTGCGCCTCGTCTCTCACCTTACAATTTTATGCTTTGAATAGCTCTGCACGCACCCGGCCAGTGCCAAGCTCACTCCACACCAGCATTGGATGTACTGGGAGTCCTTTTTGTGGTGGCACCTGCCTAGCGACAAGTTTATCAAATGTTTTCCCTCTCAGCCAAATGAAGCCCAATTTCAGAATATCCTAAAAAGTTATCTTTATTTTTCTGTCTGTTGTCAGGCAAACGACGAGGGCCACTTAAGGTCTGAGATCTGGAGCGGGTCCCGGCCCTGCTCCTTGGCTGCTCTTTGGGAGCCGTCATGGTAATCAGACAAAAGGTCAAATAATTCATCAAATATTAATTAAGTTTGCGCCTAATTAGTTTGATTCAACGCCGAGGCGCCGTCTTTTGCCCAGGGTGAGACATCAAAAAGGTGTTGGCCGTGGCCCCAAGCTTAAACCCCGCCAAAAACACGGGAAAAGGACTCCCCAAACGGAGAAAGTCGACCGAGCTGGTTACAATTGCCCAATTAAAGCCTAATTACGGAAGAACCTATGAGCGAGGCAGACGGCTCGGGTCAAAAGTTAAACAATTTGGCAATGAAAATGGGTGGTGGCGAGGGCAAAAGTTTACAGCTAATACTAACGGGAAGGAAATCCCTAGTAAATTAAGAAAAAGCCAACGTTTGGCCAGAATTTCGGACAATACAAATAAGCGTCGAGGGAAAACAAATAGTTTATTTGCTGAAATATTTGCAGATGGCAAACTTTTTGCAGCAATTATTTAATTTGTTTCCGATGCGAGGCATAAAGTGTTCAATTCTTTTCCGATTTCCCCCTGCTGAGTCCGGCCCGGATCCTGAGCAGAATGTTTCATTCCATGCACAAATATTTAATTTCGTTTATTGAAGTATTTGCTGTTTGGTTTGGCTTCCAAACAGTTTGTGAGGTGGTTGAGCAAATTTCAGGGCAGCCAGCGCCACACACGTGCCTTGCCACACGCAACTTCTTGACCAACATTCCGATCCGAGCCAAGACTTTTCTCAACCGGGGGCCTTGAGCGGGTTTCGGCCTTTATTTGCAGTTTGTTGTTTGTTTGTTTGTTTGTTTGTTTGCTGGCCCCACTTGGAACAAAAATTTTATTAATTAATTTGAAACTGTTGCTATTGACGAGGTTTCAGGAACTGGCCCTGCCAGCAAGAGGGATTTCGATTTGGCCTTCTGCCGAATTCGATTAGTTTACATAGGCAAAGTATTTTAAACTTATTTTGGCCGGGCAATATTGCGGGGTGGGACTTGCTTTAATTTATATTGCTTTGGTCCTTGAAAAGTGTTTGCTCTGCTGCGAAAATCCTGCGACAGGCGGCCAAATCCCTTTGTCTTTCACTTCAATTAATTAGAATTCCAAATCCAGAACTAATCTCAGAATTAACTATACCTATTTTCGCCTGAAATTGTTTTTAATATTCATAAACCAATTTTTGCCCTTCGCCTTCCACCCTCGATCCTGCAGAGCCCATAAAAGTGGGCCATAAAAATTCCAATAAATGCATAAACCCAAATCCACAAAATTGGTTAGACATTGCCAAAAAGCCGGGTTTACGAACCTTCTGCCGAGCCCCACCCTCTGCTTGACTTCTCCTCGGAGCGAGAATAAACGACTTGAAAATGTTTTTAATTGCAGACGAATATTTTGGGCAGATTACATAACTAGCATTCGAGAGCTCGTCTAGGCTCATAAAATCCATCGCCCACACACACAAAGGGTCGGGGTGTGGGATATCTGCTCTATAATGGCACATAAACCGTTTCCTATCCTGCCCATATTTTGCAGTTATGTGGCCAGCAACTACAACAACAAAAACAACGACAGCCACAATTAAAACTGAGGCAAGCTCAGCAAAATGTTGTGCGTAGATATTACCCCTCTCCCGCACCCCTTTTAGAATCAAGTATACGACATGATAGCCACATTTTTGTGTGTGTGGCATTGGTGAGTCTGGTAAAGTGCGAATTACAACACTTCCTGCTGGGCTCTTCAGTGCGGCTTTCTTTTACGAGCTTGCCACTCGACCGAGCAACTTTCCCACAGTTTAGACATGAGGTCTTTCCCATGAGGTGGAAGTAGAGCCATGTATGTGCTCACACTGTTTGGATGCTTCGAACTCAGCTTTCTATCGCGTTATTACCTTTGCAAACCAAATATATATCGAATGGCGTACAATGCGCCTAATTGCTTGCAGTTGACCAATATTCTGCTATATTAATTCACCATAAAGGAGCTGGAGTTGCATGAGCTGTGAGGTACAGAGGGTCTTTTAGATGGCTAACACCAAAGCTTAACCCACATTAAAAAAGAGTTGGAAGAGCATTGGAAGCATTGGGTTAATTAATGATAAGAAGTTCAGCCAACTTTAATTCATAATAAGCTCTTTTCTATATCGAAGTTTTGACTTGATGTCATGAATGTATCGACATATTTAGTAAGATAAGACAACGATAACTTAGGTGAGACTAATTGGATCATCAGAGGACTATTGGTCATGAAGAACTTTTAGATTAAATGGACCCCTCCCGTTCTAATAAGCAATTAAAGACAGACATTTGAACTGCATTACGCCAGTAATTACAGACGGGTTAATGGAGAAAAAAGTTCTGGTAGAAATTTGATTTTTGTATTTTCTATGCCTGCTCGCAATTAGGGATTGTAAAATGCGTAACGTGCGGCTCTAATTACACATTTAATGCTTTTAATTGCCGCTACAAAAAATGAATTCAAAATCATTTATATTCCGCATCTTTTGATAGCAATTCAACTAATCTGATAATCGGATTTGGCTGGCAGGTCAATTGCAGTAAATAAATACAGCCCAGCTGGAAAAACTAGCAGAAACTATGAGCCACAGATCCAGTTTTCTGAGTTTGGCCCATTTATTTGCTGGAGCTCTTTAATAATTTCCAGTGGCATTCGCATCACCTACATCATCGTAAAACTTGAAAAAGTGTCGATGTCGGAAAGATAAGACATGGAAAAGTTTCCCATGTAAATGACGCAGAGTGCGATGGGTAGTTGAGTACGAGGACGAGGATATAGGATATTTGTGTTTTCGGTAAGCAGGTTACCTATTTGCTGAATTACCGAGCTGCCTAGGAAAAAGTTGAAATGCTTTTTGCATGTTCTTGTGGTTATCAAATTTGCTGCTTCTGAATGTGTCGGGAAAGTGCTGGAGACAACTAGTGATGGGATAATGGACAGGTGTGGTACCAAGCACAGCTGAGATGGATCCGATTCACCCTTCACACCTCTGAACACTGACTTCTTTTCATGCCAGGCCATTGGATAGCATAATGAGGTGCACAAGTGTACTTGAATCCTGGCAATGCATAGTAGCAAGTGCTTCACAGGATATCGGAGGAGCAGAAAGCAGAATCTATCTTCGCGCTCAACATTTTGCTTAAGTGAGTGGATAAATGCTTCATTTAGCAGTCACACAGCGGCTCATGTTTCCCCCAATCACACAAAACCCATATCACGGCAGCGTCCTTCCCCTTGGATCCCAGCTCGGGTGTCCACTTGAACTTAACTACAATTTGGTCGCCCCATTCATGCATATTGATAATCTTGAACGCTCAATGCTCATTTACTCATCTTGAAAGGTGCACTGCCCTGCCAACCAATCCCTCCTCCCTAAATTCAAGTTTTTAATCATGCGTGGGCGGTCAGTTAGCCTTTGATTCGTTTTTCCCCATCATCTGCCCTCCTGCTCTCCAGGCCCCGTAATCTCCGAGGGATGTGTGTTCATTTTGGGGGCACATCATTTATGGGCTCCTTCATCCTTTTCCAGCCAGGGGCGGGCCCTTTTCCAATCAACTTCAGTGTATGCCAGTGTGCGTGCCCCTGTGTATGTGTGCGTGTGTGTGGATAGAAAGGAAAGCAAGGCAAAGGGAAAGGACCCTTGTCCTATTTCCTGCTGATGCTGACTTTGTGCCGATTTCATATTTTTCATTCGGCAAAATAGATATTTTTTAATGCCTTTTATTAAATCGGCTTAGATTTATTGTGCGTGTACATCATCGTTTCCCATATGTGTAAGTACACTGCGAAAAACGCGGATGGTATATTTGAATTTAATTGCTAAAAAATTGAAAATGATTGTATGATTGTATTTAAATCAGTATAAATAAATATAAATATAAATTCATTAATTAGTTATTAAATTATTAAAGATACGAAAAATTAAATTCAAATAACTCTCCAAATGAGAGATTGTTAGTAAGATTTGACTGACAGTGGAGAGATTTGTTCTTGGACTTAATACTCTAATGAAATCCGATGCGAAGGGTGTATCTGTG